CCATGTTCTCCACGACTGTGATTCTTCATGTAGTAATGAGTGAGTAACAGCTTCTCACCTTATTTCTTCTACAATACTCAAACAATCTCTGTTTGATGATCAATGAGTGATAATACAATTAATTTAACTGTTTTCTTTGATGTTGTTTAGAACGTCCAACAAAACCACAGCTGATGCTTGATGGTGTTGACGTGTCTGATACTTCTCCCCTTTTTAAGTGTGTCTCTGAGGGTTTCCCAAATCCCACAATTACCTGGTCTGGGTAAGATGTTGTCTTTTACATTTGTATGCAAACTTTAGAATAGCAGCACTTCTTCTGTCTCATTTTAGACTGGATCATTTAGAGGGACACTTTGTTGGGATCTGTGGTTAGGATAGGGTATCAGACAGCACAAGAAAACAGCAGGTAAGTTGGGGGAGGGGGGTTTCTCATGGAAAAGTGGAACATTCACATAAGCAAAGGAGCCAGGCTTCACTGTTTGTAGTTCACCTATCCAGCAAAAGAGTCTGCCACTATCTTACGTACGGCTACAAATGAGGATATCAGGAACATGTATGTGATTTTTCGCACAGAGGGCAGCAACACGAGACGAGTACCACACCTGCAAAAAAAACACCACCACCCCCAAACCCAACTTCCACCACCACACACATACAGATAGTTAAGAAGAGAGAGTGAGTGTGCAAGAAGAAAGAAAGTGGTCAAGACTGAGGGACTATGACAGTTTCCCACCACTAATAATGTGATTTTTCTCTGTTTGAACAGAAACAATAATAGTGATGAGGCAAAGATGTTTAAGGGAAGTGACGGAAGGAAAGAGAGCAAAGTATCAAGCACTGAATATTATAATACAGGAATGATGTGCTGTGCAACCAATACTGAAGGACAAGAGTGCTCCCAACTGTATGACTATGGTAACTGGTTAGAAATTAATTAATAAGATGTTAAATAACTCCACAAAGAATGTGTCCATTACAGGAGTTAATTTGAGTAAAATTTGGTTCAAATAACTTCACTTCAAGAAGATCCAGAGATTCACTAACTAATCTCCGAAAAGCAAATATTTCTTACTTGAGGCCCTGATGTGTGTTTCAGACTTACAGAGCAGTGTAATGAACAAAGATGAGGTATCTACTGTCACCCTGAGCGAAGGTCAGTCTCTGCTGCTTCGCTGCAGAGTAAAGGGATACAGTCTGAGATCACCTGTGTGGGAGAAAGGAGGAAAACA